GGATGGATGGATGGATGGATGGATGGATGGATGGACGGACGGATGGATGGATGGATGGATGGATGGACGGACAGATCTGCAGTCGGCCTCGGCAGATGGTCGCTCACATTGAGCCTGGTTCTGTTAGAGGTTTCTTCCTGTTAAAAGGGAGTTTTTCCTCTCCACTGTTGCTACAAGCATGCTTAGTGTGAGGGATTGCCAAAGAGTCAGTGAGTTGATGCACTCAACTGGTTTTCCTAAGATAGAAAACTTTGAATCAGTTTGACTGTATGATCTGGTGAACTGTAAAGTGCCTTTAGATGATATGTGTTGTGAATTGGCCCTATATAAATAAACTGAATTGAATTGAATGGATGGATGGATGGATGGATGGATGGATGGATGGATGGATGGATGGATGGATGGATTTGCATTTTTATTTCACACTTTTTTTTGTCAACTTGGTGGAATGAAGCTTTACTTCATCATTTTTATGGTTTTATATTAGCAGACATACCCCTCGTAAAAACCTTATTTCTTACTTCTTTATTCTCTTTAATAAGTGACTTTTCAAAGGAAATGCGGTTTTTTTTAATAGAGCTGCAGGCGCGCTCTCTCCGCCCCGCCCTCAGCTCGTGGGGTCCCCCCTCTCATCCAAACCCACGAGCATATGAAAGAAAAGAAGCGGTTAAAGGAGGAGGGGTCTGCAGATTGCGTCACAGTAAACCCTCCCTCCTACTTTAAATTTACAATTTCTATGAGCGCTCGCCGTGTGTGTGTGTGGTGCGCGCTCAGGCTATTGAACAGTTTCTACCCAAGGAGACACACCTCGGACCGAAGAAGTGATCCGGACCGGGAGGCGCACTAATGGTGCTCGAAGCACTTTGTCATTTTAAATAATAGAAGAAGGGGGAAAAAAGTCGCGTCGGGTTCTACTTTGAGGTAGGTGTATGTGTGTGTCTTTGGTTTTTATTTATTTTTTTCTCCTCCTCTGCTCTATCGTAAGGGGGTTGTTTCACAAGCGCACTAACAAAAGCAGCACGTTTCAGCTGTCTGTCCCACCGAGCAGAGCCTGGTGGTTTAGGTTGGTTGGTTTACTTTAAAAACCAAAAAGTAACGAGTTTGGATGGAGGTAGAATGAGATGGCAAAAACACAAACTCTTGCTTCATTGTCTGCTATTGTTGCGGCACGGGACTGTGGCCCCGGGACAGCGCAGAACAAACACGTTGGTGTTGTTATTGTTCAGCGCGCACAGACTGTCCGATCCACCTCAGGACAGAATGGCAGTCTAATATTTAAAGGGGGGGGATGAATAGATTTGTTTGCAATCTTTTTTTGTTTGTTTTTTAAAGCGGATGCATGGAGATTACGTTTGAGCATAACGCACAGAATCACTAACCCAGTCTTCACGCTGTTTTGTTTACTTGGAGTTATGTTACAAAACAAACTTTAGCCAGGAAAAAATAAATAAATAAAAGATATAAACAATTTGATTCATCTGAATGAGATCAGCAATGACTGTCTGTGTCAAAGAGCTGCCAACCATGTGCTGTCATGCAGGCGGGGTGACCAACTGTCAAGTGTTTCTGCATCTTCTTGAAGCTGTGGCATTTTCTGTTGGTCAAACTTTAACGCTGAGCAAACAAGAGGGTGGAAGAAAAGGAACCCAGCTGGAGCCAGATTCTGTGTATTTGCTGGGTGGAGGCCTTAGGACATTCTTGCAAACAGTGTGGAGGTAAACTTACCTTTAGGTAAAGTAGTTGAAATAGGATAGTCATAAGGATAGAAGTGCTGAGCTGGGTGATTGCATTTTGTATGTGGGGGTGTTCTCACATGTGTTAGTCATTTAGAGAGGAGTTACATCTGTTTTCTGATCTTTGAACTCCCTCCTTCCTTTGCCTTTCTCTTGTTTCTCTCTTGCCTATCCTCTGTTTCCAGTAAAGTCAGATGCAGTCACTGTGTGGTGGGTGGGTTGATGCGTTTTTAACTCAACTGCTTGTCTGCTCCATTCTTATTACTACACTCAAAGGAATTTGAATATGTGAATGAAACTAAATAGTTTCCTAGCTGAAAATGGAAAGTGTTCATTTTGTGGTTCTGGTAAATGTGTTTCCATAGAATTTGGGTTCTATGTTAGGAAGTCTGACCTCCAAAAGGAGATCTTTTTAGGTAGGGAATAGGTGTGTGAGTATTAGAGGGGTATAACTAGCAGCCACGTGTGTTGATGCTATCCGCCATAGCCTGGTTGATCTTTGTGGGCACAAAATCTCCACCACCCACGTATCCAAAGCTCTACTAAGTAAATGTTTCAAGAGTAAAGTTATCATTTGAGATTTTGGTGTCACTTGAGCAGCCAGCGGTGGCAACAAAATGTTTTCTTTATTTAATTTTTAGACCTTTTAGTGAGCGTGTAAATGTGGCTTTGGTTTGCCCCACACATCTTCTGCCTGTCTAATTTCAGTCTGAACAGACCTACTTTGTGAGCGGACGACCCCCCCTTCAGCTAGTGGTACTGTTTATTTTTATTTATAACCATAACTCTTATGCCACCGATGGCAAACTGCTTTTTTGTTTTTTGTCACGATAAGAATTTAAACCATCCGTCTGATCAACTCCTTGGTTCTCATTTGCAGAAACAAGTCTGATGAAACCATAACATTGTTTCCAAAATAAAAGACATTCTGCTGAAACTTTCTTCAACAAATCATAATCCTTGCTCCTTCTACTCAACTCCTGATAGGTTTACTTAGAAATTGACGTCCTTTCTGTCTATCACACAAAGTGTCCAATATTGTGTGCTCTAGAGCATAAAGATACGTTTTGGTTTCTTCTGCTTTTCAGCCCATTTAGAAATATAGCACATTTGTGTTATATCTGTAAATGGGCTAAATTTTGCTAAATGTTGCCAACCATGATATCCATTTTCTGTGACATCTTATCTGCCCATTTAATCGTTTTCCTTTGAGAACTGTACAGAAACAGGTAAATGGTCACTCCCACTTTCTTTAATAGATGAATCTGCTTTGAATCAAACTGTAAAGAATTACAAGACTGTCCAATTTATGAATCAAATCATATGTCCCTAACTTTACTCTTAGATTGACAGAACTAACAAAAGAGCAACCAAGTATGTATACTGTTGTTTCATGCATTTGCAGACCAACAATGCTGGGAGTTTGTGATGCTTTAATGGTGTATCTCAACACCATATGCTGGCTGACTAAGAGGCAATAAACCAAACAGAAGTGATGCAATTATTAAATCCTCTAACAGGCCACAGAATCTGTTTACTTTACTTCAGTTTTGTTGCTAGGTTGCTGCATTATCACAACCCAGGAACCTAGGAACTGATTGATGGACAGCTGATTACAGGCTTCTCTTTGTGTGTTAGTTTCGATAGCTATGCGGGGGGATGAAACAATCCTCATAAAAGCCAGGCATGCTGGGCCTTGCTCAGTTGATACTTGGGATGCATAAGAAATATTGAGACCCAGGCATGGATGTGTGCACCTAAAGAGAATGATCTATCCAAAAGAACTGCATTGATTTTTCCTGCTCTAATGTCAGAGCCTCAATCACAATTAAGGGCCATTACTGCACTCGCTGGTTTTCTGCATCATCTCAGAGAATGGATGGCACGTGTACCCACACATGAACTTTAAATCCCTCTTTGTGGCTTGTTAGGGTGAAATAAAGGGAGAATTGGAATGAATGTTTTTTTATGGTATAAGAATCAAAAAGATTCACTTCAAACACAAGCAGGAACTAAGTGCAACAAAATAAGAAAAGAAACTAAATAAGAAAAAGGATATAAAAAGTTTCAGGTATTTATGTTGATGGCAAGAAACTTTTTGATATGGTTTAGAAAAAACAGTAGGCTTACTTT